CTTGAAGAATTCAACCAAGAGTCCCATCCTTCTGCAGCTTGACTCTTTTCAACCAAACTCTTAAAGTTGGCTCATGTGTAGCAAGTCTTGAGGTATAGGAGAAGTATTGTGTCGGTGTTGGCAGAGGTAACTTTCCATATTGGAGAGGGGAAATATCAGTCTTAAATAAACTGACAGGCCTACTCTAGGAAAGAGTTTTTATCCTCGATAGTGGTAAAAGAAGGGAAAAAGTTTCTTTAAAGAAAGGTATAACTTGACATGCTCTCCATTCATGTCTCGTTAAATTTCCTAAAAAGGAAGTTTTTCAAAAATTTGAGGGGAGCGGGAAAGAGTTTTTTTTCTAAAATATAATATACAAATTTATATATAAATATAATTAATTAAATATAATAAAAAAAAATTTTTTAATTAAAAAAAAACTTTCACCTGATTGCATTTGTTTTGTTTAAGATTTTCATTTATGATAATTTTGATCAAAGAAAAATATTTTATACTCTTTATTGCAAGTAAATCCCAACTCAAGAACTTAAGAATACTAAAAACAACTGATGTAATGGGATAGGATCTCTGGTTGAAGTCTACTTAAGTTTGAAAGTCTTGTTTATTCTTCGATTATATAGAGAAAAGCCTGTAACAATATAATTTTATTCTTTGATTCTCTTGCAATCCAAACCCCTTTATTATTATAAAAATTATTCTCATTAATACTATCAAACTTGTTAAATTTATAAATACCTTTCAAAAATATACTCAAATAAAGTTATAGGATCTAATATTTGTTTTAATACAATCTTTATATACTTTTCTATCCTGATATTATTTATTGTATCACTCAAAAAAATTCATAATCTTTTTTAGTCTCAAAAACTAAAATCAGTTTATTTCCTTCAATTAATTAATATCTGGCAACTGTTTAATTAAAATTCATCATATTATCTAAACTAAAATAATAAAATCAATTTAAACTGATTTACTTATCCAATAATAATAATAATAACCACAACTATAATAATAAACAACTTCAAGTATATTCTACTATCTGTATTAAGAAAAGCTATATTAACAAGTCTTAAGGAATTGGAGAGATAAAATAATAAGTTTGATCAAAGGTTCTCTTGGAGATATAACTTTTATTTTTATAGATTATATAATTTACTTAATTTTGTTTTAGTATTAATTATTTTTATTTTTTTTTATATTTTTTCAAAATGTAAAAACTTTTTATTTCTAAGTAGATAGGTATAATTCACTATTCAGCCTTTGTTTAATAATAATATTGTTTAAAAATTTCTTTTTTATATTAGTTAAATATTATATAAGTAAACAAGCTAGTATTTAACTTATTGTATGCTTTGCACCTAAGAGATATTGTTTCTTTTCAAAATATATACCTTGTTATATACAAATAAATAAAGAATAATATTTATTTACTTTAAAAAAAAAATAAAAAATAAAAAAAATTTTTTAACTTGAAATTAAATTAAATTAATTAATTATTTAATTGTTTAATAATAATTTAAATATTAAAAAAATTATAAAAAAAAATTTTTTAAAAAATATTAAATAATTATGAAAAAATTTTTTTTAATATTAATTAAATATATAATTACTTATTTTAATAAAAAATTGTTATTATATTATAATAATAATAATAAATTATTTAAATTTTATTAGGTGATCGTTACTGCGCCACGTTACTGCGCCAGTGACGTCAATGTCACGTCTGAATTTACAAAGTCAATAAAAAGCGATTATCATTTATATTATACATATTATTGTACCGATTCTCTATCTCCTTCTAAGGCTCCGAAAAGTACCGAACCGATATCGAAATGGTATCGAAATGGTACCGATCTATAGTAAATTTAATATATGGGTTGTGAACCACTCATATAAATTTATAGTAAATTGAGTATCGAATTGGTATCGAACTGGTATCGAAGTGGTATCATTAGGAGCCCTATCTCCTTCCTACGCTTTCTTTTTTCTGCGACTTCAATCATAAAGTTAAGTATGGATTCTCCACTGTTACTTTTATAAACCTGGCATTTCCTAAGCCTGTAAATCCTGGGAAGATATGTTCTTCCCCTGGTGTTGTCTTCGAAATGGTTGCTTAATGATCTTTGAAAGATACATAAGATTCTGGTTCTTATACTCAACGGTTCCTAAGCCTGTAAATCCTGGGGGTACGTTCTTCCCCTGGTGTTGTCTTCGAAACGAGCGCATATTTTATCATATTTTATGATTGCTTTAATATGTTGATCTTATATTATCCGGAGAAGATTTCGGGTTTAAATTTTGAAAAATGTAAAGGTCTTTTTCTCAGCTTTTATTAATGCTTTTTTATATTTTTATGTTCTTTTAAAGTCAATATTATGGTTTGTATTATAGTTCACATTTTAACCTGTTAATGGTTGTTTGTGATATTAATATATTATACCATTTTATTATATTATTTATCTGCAGGATTATGTAAAAGTATTTGAAGGAATTTTATCATCTGGAAACATTAGTGCTATCAGATTTTTCAAAAAGGCTGAATTTACATTCTCTCAAAAGGAAGAGGCAAAAAAGACGCTCTTTAAAACATTAAAAATTGTTATATCTAAGGATGATATACATGCTATAACAGCTAAAAGATTGATTAATAATTTTGACAAATTTATTAGTACTTTCAGTATACAACAATATTGGAATAGCCTTAACGTCTGAACAGAGAAAACCATCACTAGTACTGCACAAATTATATTACAGGAAAAAGAAATAATTATCTACATTTCATAAGCTTTAGTAAAGTTATTGTTGTTAACTTGTTTATTACAAACTATTTAGAAACAAAATGCTTGCCAAATAAGATGTAATATGTTAGAAAAGAATATTAAATCATTAACAAGAAAAAGGAGTGATGAGAATGATTTTGAAGAAAAACGAACATCAAAAAAACAGAATGTAAATAAGCTAGCTTTTGATAATGAGGTAGATTTTAACAACAACGAGATATTCAATATGAATCCAAGCATCGTATTTACAGATAATGATACTAATGAAGAAATTTTATCCAATTATGAAGAATACTGCGAAGAAGAATCCCAAATAGACATGGTTGGTATATTAATATCTATGTTACTTATGTCTTTTAATGTTACCTAATATCATTATTTCTTTTAACTTAGGCTTCAGCTGATACCATTGAAAGTTGGGTTTTGTCGAGTGGTAAGGATGTAGGCAAAGAATTATCCAAATATCGTGAAAATATTCCTCACACCAAGGCATACTATGGTGAGTTATACTTTCTTTTGTAAGCATAAATTACTATTATAGTATCAATTTCCTAAGTTCTGATATTGATATTTTTAGTCCAGCCTTTTTTGGGATACTAGATCTTTCCGGAGAGGATACAGAAGTAAGAAGTTGTTTACAAATGACAAATGGAATGAGATGATCAAGGATTTTAATAATAATATAAAATTAAGTGATATGGAAGACGAACAAGAGAGGCCCTTCTATGAGCTGATGGACAAAATTTCTGAGATTAGCGAATTTGTAGTATTTACCTTTCATTTAATGTATCGGCTAATTAACTATTCTCTGTCCCCTACATTAGATATTGATAAAAAAACCTTTTGATTTAATTACCGGCATTGAAAGCTGTGTAATTGAAGTATATATATCACTTGTATTGGTTTCTTATAAAAGCGTGGGTCTAATGTTTGTCATTTATAGGACAATATAAAAGTAAATGCAATCAGACGACTTACAGTATTCAGACATAGTAAGTGTTTTTTTGCCTATTCGTAGTATTAGTCATAATATTTAACAATTTTAAATTAAATAGTGCATACAATCTTTAACGCTTGCAATTGCCAATGTCAGAAGTTGCCTTCGGAAGTAATTTTACGAATGCAATTACAAAAGGAGTATTGACTTTTGATCGAACCTATCATTATGAAGAGTAGGTTTTTATTTGATATTTGTTGTTTATGTATTTTCCAGTTTCGTTAATTTACTATTAATTATAATACGCAGAGGTGAGATCCAAGGACTTGCTTCTTCAGTAATTACCAACATGAAATCTAGGCCTATCGATAGAAGTTTAATTGGTCAGAAAGTAGTTCAGAGTTAGCAAAGATCAATTTGAAATGTGATTGGATTAAGATCCGGTGGCCTTCCCGCATCGTTGAAAAGCAAGAAATGGATGGATAAGGTGGATCTATCAGTCGCATTACGGGATGTGTTGGTAAACGAAGGAATAGAAAATAATGGCGTAAGACCAGAAAATTTTTGCAAACTTTTTACTCTGGGAGTACACACATTTAGGGTTCCGATCAGTACCGAAAATTTTCGATACGATAATTTAAAGTACCAATATCGAACCGAAGTACCGAAAGTATTAATACTAATTAAAATATTGTATAAAGTTTTAATTAATACTATTTTATATATCATATACCATTGACACTATAATCCTAATTATTTTCTTTCAAGGCTGAGGAAAAATA